ATCTGAAATTTACCGTTATATGAAAAGCGACCTCAAATTTAGTCCGATTTCAATAATTTTCAACGTTTTGCTCTTATGTGGCAAGCACAATAACCATACCGAGTTTGGTACAAATTGGTACAACGGTTACCAAAATACATATATGTGATCATTAGTGGGCGGTGCCACGCCCATTTTGCAAAATTTTATCATAAACGTATTTCTTGGTAAAGAATTGTTAGAAGCAGCTTTAATATTTACTGATTTATCGAAGATTTCGTATTTCTCCAAAATACCGTTATACGGGATGTGGGCGTGATTATTGTCCGATTTTAAAAATTGTTGGCCATTTGGTATGCTGTAGCGAGGCTAACAACTATGCCAAGTTTGGAAGAAATTGGTACAGCGGTTACTAAGATATACACATGTAACCATAAGTGGGCGTAGCTACGCCCATTTTCCAAGAATTTATAATATTCTTATTTTTCATCTAAAAGTTATTGTAAATATCAATTTTGAGTGAATAATCTTCAGTAGTTACTAAAATATCGCCGTTTTCGTATTTCTGAAAACTACCGTTATATGGGAGGTAGGCGTGGTTATTGCCCGAAAGAAGTGCACGTACAAATTTTCGTTAAGATATCTCAATTTTTACTCGAGTTATCGTGTGCACAGACGGACGGACGGACAGACAGCACCGCTTAATCGATTTCTCTTTTCATTCTGATCATTTAGCTATACATTTGTCTATATCTATCTCGATTCGATTTGCCTTTTACAAACAACCGTTATGTGAACAAAGTTATAGTTGTGCACAAGTGCGCTCGGGTATAAAAATAAAAATAAACACAAAGATGCGTAAAGATCAGGGACCGTAACGGTTATAAGTTTTACTATAAAAATCACTTTTTAATCGTTATTAACTGAGTTTTATTTTTTGCTCGGAAAATAATCGTTACGTTTTAAGTTTTATTTTTTGCTCGGAAAATAATGGTTACGTTTTAAGTTTTATTTTTTGCTCGGAAAATAATCGTTACGTTTTATGTTTTATTTTTTGCACGGAAAATAATAGTTATTTCTGAGCAAAAAATAAAACTTAATTTTTGGGTATGCGTTTGCGCTTTTTTGCACTTTTTCTTTAGAAATGTGGTTCTCTTTGTTTCTGCCCTGGTATCTGTATTTTCATTACCCACTCCACAGTGGCGTTAAAGGTTCAATGCAGCCGCCCCCTGTCTATTCACGCATGCGCATACGCATACGCAAAAATTAAGTTTTATTTTCTGAGCAAAAAATAAAACTCAAGAAATAACGATTATTTTCCGAGCAAAAAATAAAACTTAAAACGTAACGATTATTTTCCGAGCAAAAAATAAAACTTAAAACGTAACCATTATTTTCCGAGCAAAAAATAAAACTCAAAACATAACGATTATTTTCAGAGTAAAAAATAAAACTCAAAATATAATGATTAAACTTGATTTTTATAAGTAAAAATAAAAAAATAAAAATCAGTGCCGCTGAAGGTACTCCGAGTAATAAGAAATATATTGGTTTACTCCTTATGCACGTAGCATTTCTCTTTCCGCGTAATTTTTCCCTGGTAAAGATAAAGGATAAAATTACGATCAAGGTTAATTTAAACAATTTGAGGTAAATGCGGATGAAGATCGCTATATTTATCGATATTGTTATCGATATAATAGTGGATACTTCTATTAATACAATCGATATTTTTATCGATAAAATAATCGATAATTGATAATTGTTATCACATGATATCACATGATATGATATGGCATCACATGACATGACATGGCATAATATAATATCACATAATATGATATCACAAGGCATGATATCACATGGCGTGACATCACATGATATGAGATCATATTATATGACATCATATGGTATGACATGACATCACATGATTTGACATCACATGACATGGCATTACATGGAAAAATATTTGTTTCTATAATGATTAACAGTGATCGGACTTAAAAACATTCTGTGTGGTAGAATCTGGAAAAAAATTTGTAGATTTCAAAAAAATGTGGTAGATCTCTGGGTTTGGATCAAACTTTGTACAAAAATTAAAAAAATCCGGCAAGGTTTCACCTAAATTGCAAACTTTTTAATTAGACTCTAAAAAAAAATTAATTTTAGTATAATAAAGTGCAAGATTGAGGTTGCTAAAAATTGCGTTGAGTTTTGGCAATTTTTTTCCCTGCAAAGCAGTTCCTTCCATATTAAGATATTTTTCGAACATATTTTAAGAGATTTGTGCAACCTTGCGGGTGCTGCGAGTTTTTTTTTTATCACATCACGAAGTAGCGAACAAATGTGGCACGTTCCAGAAACAGCTAATTGGAATTTGTCGATTTTGACAATTGTCAAGTAAAAGTAAACAATGCCTCAGAAACCTTAGATTTGCTTATACTTGCACAAAAATCGCCGTTTTTTAACATTTTCGCTATTATTTCTTTTTATAAATCATATAATAATAACAATAAAACCACGTTTCCTGTCGAAAAATTGATTAATGAGAAAATTCACTGTTTTACAGTTTATTTTATCCTCCCATTCGGCTTTGTTTACTTTTACTTGAGAAATTTCATCGTCGCCGGAATCTTGTATTATATTGTAGAAGCTCAAAAAAGTGGCAGATCTACCACAATGTGGTAGAAGTCCGATCACTGGTGATTAACATGGTTGTTGAAAGAATGCGCATTGTTTGAATACTAATCTGATGGTTATTTGATATGCAAACAGGTTGGTATGCGTCTATCACTTGGGTGGAGATCCTTATAGAACAAAATATAATCAGTAATGATGTCTTATAAACAGGGAACGGATTTCATGGAAATTGCCTTTTTTCTGCTAAAGAGATAGAGTATATTCGATTAAGAATGTCAACGATTTAGCTTTCCCTGATTCCATATATACACATTTTATGTTGCCTTTTTTTGCCTTTTTTAAGATATTTGCCTTTTTTTGCATTTTCTACCATTAAAAAAGTGATTATAGCATTTAGAATTCTTTTTTTTTTAAGAAAAAAAAAATATACACATGCCCATGCGGCTTATATAAGCGCAGGGACCTCTTGCCAAATTGGTGTNGTTGCCTTTTTTTGCCTTTTTTAAGATATTTGCCTTTTTTTGCATTTTCTACCTTTAAAAAAGTGATTATAGCATTTAGAATTCTTTTTTTTTTAAGAAAAAAAAAAATATACACATGCCCATGCGGCTTATATAAGCGCAGGGACCTCTTGCCAAATTGGTGTTCGAAAAATTCAAAGCCGTTTTCTCAGCTAACGTAGGCTTGGAGACAATAAGGGGTGTGGCTAAAATTGTAAAGGGCGAGGAAACCGACCTTATTCCTGATAATATGAACGTTTCAAACCTTCCATATTTAAATTGGACTCCACTTTTATCAACTTACGTCGAGCGCACATTTAGTACATTCAAGGCTTTTCTTCGCGAAAATCGAATGAAAATGCTGCCAGAAAACTTCAAAATGCATCTTGTGGTTCAATGTTACTACAACTATACAGATTAAAGTTTTATGAGTTAGAAACTCGAAAGGATAAAATAGTCAAAGATTCAAAGTACAAATTTTTCATATAATGAAACTAGTTCATAGTTTTTCTCTTTTTACTTGTAATATAAACATTTCTAAAATAAATGTATTTTTTGATTGTTTTTCGTATTTTCTGTCTTTTTTTAGTGCATGATTTTGCTTTTTTGGCAATACCTAGTGCCTTTTCCTTACTTTTTCGCTATTTTATTTTGCCTTTTCCAGCCTATTTCGTTATTTTATTTTGCCTTTTTTATAGGTGTTTAGGTCCTAAAAATCCGTTCCCTGGTTATAAATTATGATCTGTATGTTATGAATATTATGTTAATAATATTATCTCCAAATATATCAAATCCATAACGAAAAATTTTTCTCTGTGTAGATTCATTTGAACATCCACCACCACCTTTATAAGATAGGCGAAATTTCCCTCACCCATTCTTACCACTATCCACTTATTATCCCATTCGTAACAATTGCCGAACAAAAGCAACAATCGAAATCATCGATGCAAAAACAAATACATATTGTTTAAATACTTCATTTAACAAGTAAAGAAGTCTAAGTTCAGGCAAAGTCGAGCATTAAATACCCCGCGCTCGTAGTAAACAAAGTTCTCTCACCTTTCTGACAACTACCGCGAAATGGCAAGGAGGGTGGTTTTACCCTTATTTCAAACATTTTCGTTAATATGCTCAGTTAGACTTAATAAAATAATTTAACCGTGTTTGATAAAGGGCTTGTTCAAGTTGCAATCAGAGCCGCAATGTTGCGCGAATTATTAAAGTATCACGTTCATTTCTAGCAACGTATTATCAGTTGCGCAGTTGCAACAATGTTGCAAATTTTCATCAGTACGGCAGTAATGCCGTTTTTATTACGTGCCTCGAACAAGCCCAAACTTATGTGGTCATAGGTGAGCGGTGCCACGGCCATTTTCCTTCATATATTTTTTTTAAAGATTGCTGTTAGTATCAACTTTGAGTAAATTGTTGTGAAGTTTTCATAATTTTAACATTTACCATTATATGAAATGTGGGTGTAACTTTAATCCGATTTCAAACATTTTGTTTGTTTTTAAGTTCAATAATTATGCGGAGTTTGGTGGAAAAAATTAGATTCAGTAGTTACTTTACTCTTTAAATAACCTTTATATGGGATGTGGGCGTGGTTATTGTCCGATTTAAACAATTTTCAATAATTAGCTATGTTGTGCAAGGGTCAAAAACTGTGCTAAGTTTGGTAGAGCGGTTAATTAAATACACACACGTAATCGTAAGTGGGCGGAAATACACCCATGTTAAAATAATTTTTAATATTCTTATATTGTAGGTATAAATTTTGGGGAATAAGCTTCAGTGGTTACTAAGATATCGCATTTTATTTTATTTTTTGCAAACTACCGTTACATGGGAGGTAGGCGTGGTAACGGTTGCCCATTTTCAAAAGCGCATCCGCCCCCAGCTNATTGGAATGCTAAATTTTTGCTGCCAGTACATACGAATTCTGGGAAAACGCACACATCCCATTGCAATATGCATTCCAAAGAAATTTTTTATTTCTCCAGAACTAGTATGCAAACTCTCTCCAGTTTTTAAGACAGTGTACCTATTTGTACAACCAGCAGCATTTTCAAAAAAGTTGTCATCAAAATATCTCGTAAAATACTGTAGTGGAGTTTTAACCATACCGTCCTGTAAAATTTTAATGTTTTAAAAGTTAAATTTACTATAAATTCATCTTACACATTCTGTTGGGATAGCTGTTTCTTCTGCTCGGGGAGAAAACGGTTTCCGTTTCCATATAAGTCGACGGGAAGAAGTCTGTAAATTTTTTGTTAGGATGAATATTAATTTTTTATTTTACAAGAGCTGAACTAGACTTACTGGTCTGATTCCTTCTTCGTCAGTTGCATTTTTACCGATTTCCGAGAATTGCTTTTGGTGTTCATCATCTGGTTCGGAGTTTTCGCTGTCAGTGCTTTCACATGGCAAGTAATTTTTGTCCAGCACTTCGTCGTCACCACTAAAATCTTCCAAATCGGAATCTAGTAACGCGTTAAGAATGTCTTCTTCTGTCAATGTTTCTAAAAAAAAATTATAAATTTTCAATGAAACAAGACCCAATGCGCACAATTGATGCACTTCACTAAAATATGCTCCAAACTTCACTTTTTTCATTAATAAATTAAAAACTCTATGTATAATAATAAAATTTAATATTAGGTTAACTAATTAATGCATAATTCACTTTTATAACACCACTAATTAATTTTTAATAAATTTTACAACTTACTTGAGCGGCTCATTTTCACAAATGACGAAGTCACTATCGCCACGATGCGATTTGCGAGCTAGCGGCACTTTAACGGCCAGAACAATGTAAACAAACAATAAAGCGAATGAAACGCACAATTGATTCATGTGGGCCTCACCTGCGTACGCTAAATATCAACGAAAATACGACAATTTATACCAACCCGCACAATTGATGCATTAGGGTCTGAAAGGGATACATACATGCATATATAGTACTAGAAAACTATACATACATCAGTGTTGCCGCGAATCATTTTTAGTGGTCGCCAAATTCCTATAAAAAAGGGGCTAAAAAATAGCTAAAAAATGTCGTTGTGGTTAAAAATGGTAGCTAAAATTTTGGTGACAGGTAATAAGGTCAATTGACTTTATTTCCCACCCTGGTACGAAATAAAGTAAATTGACATTATTACCCTTTCAAAAGCGAAATAAAGTCAACAAAAATTTGGAAATAAAGTCATTGACGCCATTTCCTCATTGAAATAGCGTCAACAATGCTTAAAGTATGTCGATTCATAGAAAAAAATGTTGTTCTTACAATAAACATTGCCCCGTAAATGTTGTTTTTTAATAGATGAAAAAGGTTATTGCCAAATCCTCAGTGTTGTGATATTAATCCACACACTATCATGAACTACCACCAATTAATTTTATTAAAAGTCAAACCACAAGAACATACACGGTCAATTGACTTGATGAGCCATTTAACAAATTAAACATATTAGGGCCGTAAACTTATCTAATTTAAACTATTGTTAAATCGTTAATAGATAAGTTAACAGCCTTAACACTTTTACAGTATGTATGTATAAAAACCTAAGGAACATACAATACATATAGATATGTATATATATCAGTCTTTCTTAGTTTAAAAATTCGTCTCTTACATAAATGAAAAAAATTAGATCAAATTAAGTATATACAACTTTTTCATGCCAAGTATGAGTAAATTCTCCAAAGGGCTAAAAAAAGGGCTAGGGACAATTTTAAATGTATGTGGCCAAAAAAAGTATGTGGTAGCTAAATCTAGCCACCAAGGGGCTAAAACGGCAACACTGATATACATGCATGCATATATATATTCATATGTATGTATGTATAGGATCCTGTCACGATGCTCTCCACCACTATGGACCTCTACCCCCGTTTTCTCTGTAAACAAGAGTGAGTATTACTACTAAGGTTTAGCGGTTGGTGTTTTTTACTTTAACTGGAATGAATGAAAATTTTTTATAAAATTATTATTTAGTAAATACAAACTACAGGCGTCGCTGCGGGTTTGAGGTGCACTACCACTCTGTGCGACCTTCGATCCCTGGTCCGGGAAATTCCTAAATTAGAAAAAAAAATCTAACGGCGCACAGTGCGTAATTTCGGCGATTTAGGGGAAGGAAAATCATAGCTCCCACAATTTTGACTCTAGAATATATTTTTTTTAGTTATGTACTTCTAATAATATATATAATTACGCTTTCAAAGGATGTGGGTGATTCCATAAGTCTAATATTTTATATGGGCATTTCCAGGGGGGGTCTTTATAGTCAAAAATTAAATTAATATATTAAAATAATTAAATTAATTATATCTCTGTTAGGTATGGTCGAATCTGGGTTATTTTTTCCACGTATATTGGTTGCATGTGCAGGAATATTTTTGCAAAAAATTTACCCGTTAGGTGGCGCCGGGGTCGAAATATTTTGAAAGCCCGTATTTATAGACTGATTTTGTTAATATTTGCGATATGTATTAGATACATAGTAAGCAATATATTCACAAAAAAATATAAATATAATTATATAATTTGATTTCTAATATCTTCGCACCATTTTGGCTGCCAGTTTTCACTTTTGCATTAACTATAGTGTTTTACAAGAACTAAGTATACAAAAATCAAAACAAAAAAAAAGAAAACTTAAATTATTATTTGTGTTTCTTCACCATAAGGTCGATTTGATTTGATTTGAGATTTGTAGCTGTCATGCCTCAAAATAAGAAAAATCCCAATGACTAATTTTTTGTCACCAAAAATACACAAAAACCCGATCTTTTTTTCCCAAAGGTTGACTTTAAATCGACTTTTTTTAATTGTGCAATTTTGAGCAAATTCTTACTATTGATATACAGATGTCCAGTTAAAGGTTCCTGAAGAGATCCAAATGTCACACGCTGTCAAATAATTTATATCCTTATATGAAAAAAGCGAAATCCCATTTTTTTTAATCTAAAGGAGCGTAATTGATATGCAAGGTTGACGTCTAATATAATNATGTCCAGTTAAAGGTTCCTGAAGAGATCCAAATGTCACACGCTGTCAAATAATTTATATCCTTATATGAAAAAAGCGAAATCCCATTTTTTTTAATCTAAAGGAGCGTAATTGATATGCAAGGTTGACGTCTAATATAATAAATAATGTTTTTAATTAAGTTTACAATGTGTAAAATGCAAAGTATACCCAAGACTGCAGTCTCGTTATGAAATGAGACGGATACGACCACTTATTGATAAAGGCCGGAAAACTGGCAATTTTCGTTCGTCAAAACAGGCATGTTTGCACAAGCTCAGAATTCTTCCAGGTAATCTTCTAACAATTGGGGACCGATTTTCTATTACATCAGAGATCTATACGCACACATATCGTATCTGAACTTTTTTTTTAGCAACTTCGATTTTCGATTTTCCTTCCCCTAAATCACCCAAATTACGCACTGTGCGGCGGTCGCCCATCGGTAGGCAAAGGCAACCTTAGTACCGCATACATACATAGGTATCAATCGAAATGGGTTTGAAAATGTTTTATTTCTTAACTACATCTAGGAGGGTTGCTATCTGTTTAAAAAATCAAATTCAATTAGTATTATGAATTAAGGAAATTAGATAAAAGAAATATGTATTTATCGCAGTATGGGTGTCTGACGAAGTTGGTTTTAGAAGGTTTTAGTTTGGAAATATTTTGAAAAGTCGAATGTAATTAAACAATGCAGAAGTTAGGTGTGTATAATATTAAAATATGGTGAGTTGAGCGATCCTTACTTTAAGCATTTATATTTTGTGGGTTACACCTCGCTTTGAAGTGAGATACAAATTAGTTTATAAATAATAATAATAATAATAATAATAATTTGGAGCTTACACATATGTTAGTGTTTGGCCGAGCTCCTCCTACGATTTGTGGCGTGCGCCTTGATGTTGTTACACAAATGGGAAGGACCTACAGTTTTACGTCGACTCCGAACGGCGATTGCATTTTTATGTGAAGCTGTTTTTCATGGCAGAAATACACTCGGAGGTTTGCCATTGCCTGCCGAGGGGCGACCGCTGTTAAGAAACTCTTTTTTCTTTATTTGTACTGCGATGTTGCTTTGACCAGGGCTTGTACCCAGGCCCTGTGGAGTGGAAGCGCGCACTACATATCACTACACCAAAGAGTTATTAAAAGGTTGGTATCAAAAGTGTAATTTTGTTCAACTATACACAAGGTATATCAAATACTAAATAATACATGGATGCCAAACGAAAGAGTATTAAAAACTCTTTCGAAAACTTATAATATTTTTGAGATGTATGGAGAGGTTTGCCACCTGTTTAAAAATATTCAAATTATTTACTTATGAGCAGGGCCAAAAATGTTAAGCTTTTGCTAGGAATTGCTTATTCTGCTTATTCAGGGTTTCCAAGCTTAATTTTAACGATAATGCTTATTTTACTTATTTCAATGTCAAGAAATAAATTGCTATTATTTTGTGTGTGTGAATAGTAGTGTCCAAGGAGTTTTGACTTCTGATATTTCACAGCCTGCTGTCTCACTTATTCCTTCCGAAATAATAGAACGGGCATATATTTCTGTAAAAAAAAACAAACACACTTTAGCAAACCATAGTAGAAAACATAGAAACTTTTTAAGAACTCCATACTGCTTGAGAAAATTTGGCTCAATAAATTTTTTTTTACCATTTCTTGGGCGCTTTTTTATTCATCGAACAAAAAAAATGTTTGCAAATAATATCATGAAAATAGATTTGGTTTTTATCAACCCGTAACTTCAGTTACATTTCTGCTTGGGTACAAAAATTTTAAGCCAATGGTTCGTCTCTAAAGGTGTTAGATAGATAGATAGATAGATTGTTAGAGGCTATGCACTACGACCTTAGGTCTATTGTGCCCTCGGAGCTAATCACAACATATCGTCCAATCCTAATGCTCTGATGAATCCGAGCAGTTTCGAGAGAGGTAGAGAGTGTATATGCGTAACCTCGGGCCAAATCCTTCCCAGGTGTGTTAGCCTCGCATTCCAATAGGAGATGCCGTGGGGTTTCTGGTGTCACATCGCAGTACCGACACGAATCGCCTGCACTGATCCCCAGGTTATGCATATGGGCCCGCAGTCTGCAGTGCCCAGTTAGCAATCCTGCTAAGTCTCAGGTTAGTCTTTGGAAGAGTTATTGGTTCCCTAGATCTTTTGGGATTATATCCTCCAAGAAGTTCTTGCGCCTTACTTAGCCCAGGCGTGTTCTCCCAAAGTGCTTTTCTCAGGCCTCGCTCTTCTGCTCTTAACTCCTCCTTGATTGTATGAGGCCCCAATGCAAGGAATGGTTCAGGGCCTATAGGTCGAGTGGCTGCGACCTTCTTGCTAGTCTATCAGCCTCCTTGTTTCCCTGTATGCCTTTGTGGCCCGGGACCCACACCAGTTGTAGTGTGTTGTTTTACCCCAGGGTGTTTAATCTTGCTAAACATTCCCATACCACTCGTGATTTAATCTCACATGACGATATGGCTTTTAATGCAGCCTGACTGTCGCTGCAGATAACTATATGCTGCAGTCTTGCTTGTCTTTACAGAATTATTTCCGCACAAACACTTATGGCGTAAACCTCCGCTTGAAATATACTGGGGTAGTTATCCAGGGCGATGGATATCTTATCCCTAGGGCCAAATATTCCTGCTCCTATCCTTTCGTCGGTTTTTGAGCCATCTGTGACCCACCATTGGGTGTGAGCCCTGAAGGTGTTTTCTAAGATTGTCTCCTTCCAGGTCGCTTTGTTGCCTAGTTCGATCCTGAATCTCTTCTCAAAGATTGTCGTTGCACTCATGTCATCCCTGTTGAGCTGGGAGATAGGGATCTTAGATCTAATTTCATCTCCCAATCTGCTCGAGATCACTTTCCCTCTGCCAGTGCCCTCCTTCAT